CCGCGATAGGACCTACGGGAATGGATGATGTAACACGTTATTACCGACTGGCAAAGCAAGTTTCTTGCGAAAATATCGTACGGCATTGAATGTGTTAACTATGAAATATGAACAATTTTTTTAAGAATTAAATTTAAAATAGGTATATAGATTCTTACATCTTACTAAAATTATAAATGCGAAAGTTTAGATGGATATATTTAAGTTTATAGCTTAAACGGTTGAACGGATTTCGATGAAATTTGGTATAGATGTAGAATATAGTCTGGTAGAACAGATAGGCTAAATATTTTTTTTAAATACCCACGGACTTATGGTAGTCGCGGTCGAAAGTTAGTAATGTTAATTATTCTGTACAATATAAATTCCGGACATAAGGTAGGTAGTCTTGTAAAATTCGAATACGAAACAAGTTATATCTGTAAAATATCTGTGTCTCGAACTAATTGCTTTGACTATGAATAATGCACGTGTTATTGCAGCTCTACCCGCGCCGCGCTCTCTAACGGTTTATTAATTGCCCTCCCCTAATACCACATTTACTATCACAATAATTGCCAATATATAATATTGCGTAACTATATTACAATATTGCAATATTGTAATTCAATCTCTCAATAGAATTATTAACGGACTTAAGAAGACTTGTAGTTAATAACAGATATAGGATCCTTCTTCAAAATTAAATTTAATAAAATTACTTAAAACGATACATAGACGACAAATTGTAAAATAAATCTATTTTAAGGAATACGATTCGAAGCATAGGCTGAAATTTTCATGTGAAATCGCTTGCGCATTAAAAGAATAAAAAAGTCGAACGTACCTCGCATTAATGCAAGTCGAAGCGCTGGCCTTCTGGGAACTGAGGTGACTTTTTCAAACGATCACTTTTTGCTCACAACAATGGCAGGTTATACAACTAATCGTTCGCGCCGGTTAATTATACGGTGTGTTTTGTTTGCTAAGTCCGTCCGGTGCGTGGGGCGGCGCTGGGGTCGCACTGCCATACTATCGCCGCAGATATTTCGTTTAAATAACGTGTTTTATTAACCCGTTCACTCGACAATTCACTGCTACTATTACTTAAGGTCTTGGCTGAGTTAACATTCACGAGAAGATAATGTCGCCATCGTCTAAAGTTTCATTGACCTTTTTGACACTGACATTATGAACCAGAAAAAACATGGCGTCGCGTCACATGAATTAGCGAATTTTAATTTAGATGTGAAGTTTAGTTGCTTACCTTTCTTAAGATTACCTACATTTATTCTAAATTATTTTTAATGTTAAAAAATGTATTGATAATAGTTGTGAGAATCATTTGAAAGTAAATAAGAGATTTTTAATTTGAAAGTCCGTCAAATAGAAAATCCGGATATAAACATAGACAACCTGTCATATCGTTTGTTAAATATTTATTGATTTTTTGTGAAGAATTTTAAAACATAAGTATCATAGTTGAAAAACGAATTAATCAGCAGGTCATATAACGGTTATGAAGTGAGAACAATAATTATAATGGGCGCGAAATAACGGCGGCCGATTAAGCGTGGTTTCCCGCCTAATTAATTATTGCTTATCTGTCCGGAGCGCGCCGCTACGGGACCTGGCGAATATAAAAACATTTTGTTAACCTCATCTGCTCAGCGCTGCTATTTCGAAGAATTGGTATTTAAAAATTAAACGTTTGCTTTTTACTTTTATTATATTTATTGCATAACTATATGACCAGACACAATATTTTTTTCGTTATGAGTACAGATAAGAAATATCTAATAACTAATTTTCAATTTCATTAATTTTAGCTTCGTCTCCTGTTTCTGAGTTAAGGAAAAAATAAATATAATTTTGATGGCAACAATTTGCTCATTAAAATTATGGTAACAATTTCATCAACCAATAATCAATAGGTTAACATCGCTTGACATAACACATGACTTAAACAATGCATTCGAAAACAAAAGACAAAAACTCATGCCTTATGCATTGTTGTGAGGTTATTATTAACTTCCGTAGGCGACATATTGTGGGCCTCGAGCAAAACGGCTGCGGGGTCTCAAAAATAAATTAAAAAGGCGCATCGTTAAAAAAACTGTAGGACACAAAACAAAAAGCGTACTACGGGCGTCCGTCGACGGTGTTTTTTTATCGTCGGGAGTTGGTCGACGCCAGGAGATGCGACGTGAATCACGAGATACGTGCGAACAGTAGCCAAGTGGCGGAGAGCCGCTAAAGTAACTGCTTTTCACAAATAAATTAACCAGTTTTTTATTTTTTAAACAGTATACATCGCTTGCAATTAGTTGCATACGTGCCATATCTAAAAAAAGTATAAACAGATATTTGTATTAGTTACTACAAGTAATTTTTTTTGGTAATTATATGACATTTTTCCTTTTTAAATATCTATCGGGAACCTACTACTTGACACTTTATATCGACGACACTAGATGTCAGTTTTTTTATTATAATGTTATATTCTGTGTGACCTAATTTAAGAAGAAATTCATTGTATTTTGTTGATTGAATATTTCGGCCATTTTCTATTGCTTTATTTATTGGATAGTGATTCATAAAAAATCTAAGGTTACCCCTGTATAACGGTAGTTTCCCATGGGTGAACCCGCAGGACAACGTGACTAAAACCAAATGCACGTTCTTATCAAGCAACGAACGAGTAAAGGAATTAAAATATTTAGGTAAGTATAATAATACTGATTAATAACGATCGATGATAAACATCGAAAGTTTTATTGAAGTACGTTAAAATATCGATAACACTAGTAGCCGATTGCTCCTCATCGAGATTTGTTACATAGTCGCGATACCTTATCTAATACGTAGTACATCGCTCTATCGATTTTAATTTTATTAATAACTAACTTTCGCTCTCGACTCCGTCCGCGTGGATTTGAAAAAAAAAAACAAAAGTTAATAGCATATGTGTTCTTCCAGATTATGCTCTACATCAGTGCCAAATGTCACCGAGATCGGTTCAGTGGTTTAAGCTACAAGCTTTAACAAACATCCATCCATCCATCTAAACTTTCGCATTTATATTAGTAAGAAGTAAGATATATCTACTATACACTACCGATGTAAAGTATCTTGTATCCTGAACGAGACGATAGGGACATAAACTAGATTGTGGATCTTTACAGAGGTGGAAAAAGACCGAAGAAAGTATGAGTGGATTGTGTGAAAGAGGATACGCTCAAGGGAGTGGAAGAAATGACGGCTGATAGAAATGGAATAGCAGTACATACTGTGTCGACCTTCCATGGGGAATAGGGCAAATTAATAATGATGACTAACGTTATAATGTAGATGTTACTTGAAGAAAACGATAAATTTGACTATGATGATAATCCGAGGAAGAAAGTATCGACTGGTAAAATTACGCTATAGGATGTCAAAATAAAATTCATCTTCATCCACCGTATTGTACTCCCGTAGGGTTGGCACGACAGGTTTATGTCCTCCAAATAACTTTATCATCAGTCATCTCAGTCATCACTTCCTTTTTGATCATGTCACCTTTCACGCAATCCATCTATCTCTTTCTAGGTCTACCTCTACCGGTGTACCTCCACACTCATAACTAACGTTCTCCTTGTAACATGTGATTCATCCCAAGGTCAAAATAAAATTCCAACGAAATATTGCACTCCTGCCATGTGAGCAATGTTTTCAGTTTAACCGTTACGCAAAATTCTAAAGACCTACAAGTGTAACTTAATCAACTAATTAACGTTTTGCAATAGTTTTTAAAGTTTTCTATTTTAAGTATCAGAAGTTTCGTTTCTTGTCCTATGAAATTTTCCTTATATAACTCGCCAGTTACAAATTTTTTTTCTACTTAATTTCGTCATGGCAATAAAAAATGTAACTCATAAATACCGTGTCGCCTATCATCAGATAAAAAAAAAAAAACTTAATTTCTGTTTTCTTCTAAAGGTAACAGGATTTTTAAAATCGGATCAGAAGTTTTTGAGTTATTTTAATACATACAAAAATACAAATCTTTCCTCTTAATAATATCTTTTTACGCTATATGTATAGATACCTACCTGCTTGTATTTTAAAATCTATAATCCCTGTGCCGTACAAACGGGTTCGGGTCCCGCGGCACAACCTACCCTTGAACTACGATTGCACCGGAGGGCATAATATTGTAAACGTAATGGGGAAAATGGTACTCACCAGCTCGATGAATTTGCGTCACCTCCTCCAGGTGCCTTGTCTCAGTCTATGTCAATCGAGTCAGTCTGGTTCAGTCAAGTCTATAGGCCCAGCGATGCTGCCTGAAGATGTATCAGTAATTTCGAACGCGAAACCGAATTTAGCGACCCCGTTCGCTATCGAAATCGACACGCCTGTTGTGTCGTCGCGTTATAAAAAGAGCAACTTTAATCCGCACAAGTTCGCGACCGTTCCGCTTGGCTGCTCGATTCCGACCTTTTTCTCGCACCCCTCTCCGCAGGCCCCGCGCCCGTCCGTAGTGGAGAGGGTTTATTCTTCTACCCGCCCGTGCGAGAAAAATAAAATAAGCGCGCTTACCCGCACTAAACCCGGAGCGCGAAATACAAAATTATGTTCGTATGACCGCATACGATCTGTACCGAACAATCCCAGATAAAAAAGCAATTATCTTTAAGATATTTTAATATATTGTAATAAATAAAATTGTATTAAAATTAATGATAATTAAATTAAAGTCTATGTCTATGAAATGAAAAATAACACGAGTATGATAAATTGTTCGACATTTAAATAAGGTAAATCTAATTCAAACACAGTGTCATACCCTTATCAACAAATACCAATCAACAAATAAATTATATACTGTTCCATTCGAAAGTACGTTTCCGATTCGCTTAAGTATTCCTCAAACATGAAGATAGTCGACGAAAAATTCAAGTGGAGAAAATATGTATGGCAGCGGTATGCGAAGGGTGGTCGAGGAGGTTGGGTACCGGGGGAAGCGGGCGTCCCCCCGCGCCAGCGGTTAGTTTGCTGCCAGCCTTCGTGTGCGGCTGACGTTTGTGTGTTCCCGCTTTGAATAAACGAAACGCGAGTGACTGACCGCGAGGCAACGTGTGCTGGTGTATGATCAAGTGTTGTGCAGTGTGTGCTGTGGCCTGTTTGTTTTATATTTGTGTGTTTAAAGACGATGACCGCGTGTGTCTGACGCGGGGATGTATCCAAGCGCGGGCGCAATGAATGCCGCCGCAGCCGCTGCTGCCGTGGCGGCCGCGAGGCATCCGGTAAGCGACAACGACCATGCTCTTATGCCCAATGCAACATACTTATGCATTTCACCCATGCTTCTGTTGTTAATCAGCACAATTGCTTTAATGGCACTTATTATTTCTTTCCTTGAACTTAAAATATCATATCATTTTAAAATATTTCGCTGATTCAAGGTAAAGACCTTGCAAGCTGTAAGGACTTTTTAAAGATACTTCATAACTTTGACGTGTCAATACAAACGTCAAAACTTAAAATTCTGAAATGGGTTTTTGAAAGATATGAATGTTTGATGTATTTTAATATGATCTCACTATCTAGTAATGAAATAGCTATAATGTGGTTTAATACATTTGCGTGCTCTAATTTGTAATTTGAGCCATTCATCACAATTACAGTTCTAAATTGATCTTTAACGTTTGGATATAAGAGCGGTATTAACGTAGTGTAAATAACCGCAAGCCGCAACGCATCTGTCGCGTTTTCCGACGGCTAACAAACCGCAGCTTCTAACCATTACAACTGCTATTTCATTTTTTTATTATTTTTAATTGCTACGCGTTTCTAAGGCATTTTTAATTTTGAAATTCAATCTTTTGTTTTTGCGTTCTTTTGCTTTTGTTTTTTTTTTGTTTTTAAATTTCGAATGTTTGCACTCCATTCTTATTTAGTTTCATGCAATTAATGTGGGTTAAAAATGTGGTATTTATTCAAATAAGTCGTACATAAAATGTTACTAATTAGTTGACCACTATCATATTATAGAATATCTGTAAATAGAAAATTATAGTAGTTATTAGTATTACTAATTTTTTTATTGCATGTCTGTTTAAATGCCATTATTATCTTCTGAACCTAAAATGTTTTTATTGATATTTGTGACATGTTGATTTATTTGTTTCTTTTAACTTTATCAGTATAAATGCAAATTAGCAATTAAACTATATAACCAGATAATGATTTTTAATATAAACATGCTAAATTGGTTTATTTGGATTTCATTATTTATTGTTACAACAATTTACATTTTGTTAACTTGAACAGAGAAGATTAATACATTATGATATGAGTTAAATCTTTAAAAAAGCAGAAACTATTAAAAAGTCATTACAAAATCTGTGTTAATTACAAACATTAAAAGCAAAGGTATTTAGCTTAAGTGATGTCAGTCATTTAAATAATATTTATTTGTTTTTATATGCCTTAATTTTCCATGTTCAATATGTGTTTTATGTTAATTTTACCCGCTGGGATTTCATTGATTTTTAAATACTGAAATAACAGTTTACCGTTGCAATATAATTTACATGGTGGTTTTTAATATAGTAGAACATTTAATATTTTTATAAGATAGTGCATTAAATATTGAAACTTGTATATCCAAAGATCTTCTTATCGAACAGTGAAGGAATTTGATAATAATCCATAGAAGTTTAGCTTTATTTTTTACTAGCTGTTCGTGTGCGGCTTCATCCGCATGAAAATATATAAACTTTATTTTGTTGTTAACATTTGTCAAATTTTCAATTGCAAATGTCAAAATGACATGAGTATGACAAACCATGGCAACCTTGCTTCCTTGATGTTGGCAACAACTTATGTTCTCTTTCCCACATTAGAGTTTTTATTCAAAATGTTTACCCCCTTAGTTAATGGTGTGAAAATATGTAGCCTAAAGCGTGACGTAAGTGTAGGGCTTTTTATTAAAAAAATAATTATTCAAAAATATGCTGTAACTGCTGACATCTTAGGCAACAAAGAAGTGTGTGTTTACGCTTTATTATAATAGTATAGATATAGATTGTATGATCTAATTCCTGAGTGATTACTAAAGATGTGTAATTAAAACCATTTCTCAGATGGTTTCATGACTTGCGAGACTCGGGATGGGAGGGTTAGGGGGGTGTTAATGTAAATGTCTATTCATGTGTTTGCACAGAATCCGTGTCGCGTCCTAGGCACTCGGCGCTCGGCGCTTAGTCAATATTTGAGTGTCGGAATTACCGCTACGAACAAACGCGAGACGCCTTCCCGCCACTCCGACTACTCAAATAACAGCTTTCCCTCGCACAACGAACACGGACAACTTTTATGTTGACATTTTAAAATATTAAATTATATCATTGTAGAAAATACGGATGATGACAAACTAGACGAGCTTTGTTAAAGTTCTGCTTTTTACTTTATAAAATAGTAGCTTTCGCCCGCGAACTCGTCCGCGTGGAATTAAAAAAGAGTGAGTAGCCTATGTGTTCTTCCAGACTATCCTTTACGTCTATGCCAAATGTTATCGAGATCGATTCAGGATACAAACTCTAACAAATAATCCATTCATCAATCTTTCGCATTTATAATATTAGTAAGATATGGTTTACTGTTATACTACTAATTTATTATTATTAGTAAAGAAGGTACAAAATAGCAACACTATCAAACTTATATTCTAAAAGCTTTAGCCCACTAATCATAAGTTGCATAAAAAGATTCCATCCCTTGTAAAAAGAAAAAGTAACTATAAGGACACAATTAATTTTTAAAATAGTGTATCCATCAGAAATTTGAAATATACGTGGGGGAGGTTAAGGGGGTGGAGGTTAAGTACCTTAATGTTCGGGTTAATTAAATGTTACGTTTATTTTATTAATAAACGCACAGAAACCTAATTTATTACTATTTATTACAAGTGAAACATGTCAATTTCTTTTGAAACCTTATAGGTTAAATTTCTCTACCAAGAAAATCTTGATAATAGTAAACAAAATCTATAACATCATTGTAACGTCTACTAGTCTTTTACCTTCTATCTTTAAGAAAATGATAATTTGAAGCGTTATCAACGGGAATGTATCTTGTATAGATATATAGAAATGGATTTACATATCAGAACTAATCTGATAAATGAAGTGCCTTGAGTCAGTGCTCGGCCCAAAATAATTCCCGACATTTGTACTTAGATAAGGCATATCAGTTCGTACAAACAAAGCATTTGGAGTATGCAAACACCACTTCGTCATAATCAGGATATCGTCAAATCATTCACCTTGCAGTACTATGTTTTTCCAACTCCCATGATATAGTGTGTTATGTGTAATATGGGATCATTGTTAAGTAAATAATATAAAATAAAAACAAATACTCCTTCTTCATCATAGTTTTATTAAACGAACTAGCTTTCGCCCGCGACTCCGTCTGCGTGGAAATAAAAAAACAAAAGTTGCTTGCCTACGTGCTCTTCCAGACTATCCTCCACATCTATGACAAATTTCGTTGATATCTGTTCTGCAGTTTAGGCTACAACCTTTAACAAACATCCATCCATCCATCCATCTATTCATTTAAACTTTCGAATTTATTATATTAGTATGATATGGTGCATTTCTAATAATTCTACATAGATCAAACATATTAAATAAAAAAAAACTGTTTAATTTTAATCAGGATCGATTACAAAGAATAGAAAACCAAAACAAAGCTAAACTAAAACGAATATGTTAGTATAATATAACTTTCTCAGAAGATTAACTGAAAAAACAAAGCATGTGTCAGGCAGTAGCGATGTTTCTCAGAAATCCAAGTCGGTTTGTAGAATCCCCATACATTATATTAGTTTGGCATCCTCCGCTGTTTTCGTTGTGGAGGGCGATAAATTTAGACCGTGTCGTTGATTTTATGACTTTTAATCTGATCGAAACTGGGCATAAATTAGCTGTAGGTATACCGGGTCTATGAGGAGGCAATCTTCATGTTTAAATATTTGCATTCTCCTGTTTGTTTAGTTTGTAAGTGCGAATGGTGTTTAACTGTTTGCCGAGCAGCCGGACTATGCGCGGTCTCGTGTCGTTTTGTAATGTTGCTAATTAAAACTTGACACCGGCCTATGGTTTCCACGAACGCTTTGTTAACACAGAAAAAATAGGGACAAAAAGCCACGTAAAGTAGTTACCGGATATGATGCAAAAAATGTTCATCGTTTTTGTTCATCATTTTTTTTTTCTAGTTCTAATAAACATTATGCATTGTTACGAATCGTACTTGAGATTTTACTGATATGTCGCAGAATCAAGGACGCTCTTTAATAAATACTTCTAATTTGAAAATAATTTGCTAAAAATTTAAATCTCGTTTGATAGAAATTAAAATTTAGCAGATTATAATTTTAAGATTGTCTCTAAATATTATAAAACTTTCACTTTCTTTTTTAAACAGAATCCTCAATCAGATGTTATGTAAAAAAGTTTTTAGCTTACGTTATAAAACTAAGTCGGGAATGCTATCAAATTCCGTTCATTCATTTCTTTGGAATTTAGTATTGTGGGACAAAAGGAGCGAGGGCCCACGGCGCGCACAGGTAGACGCGGCCAGACGTATTCAATAATTGGAAATGGGAACACGTATTTCTTTTTATATCCGTTTAAACGCATTCTGTTTGAGTTTTGTTCTTACGAACGGTCGCTGCATGCGGGCCTTTCATCCGAGCCTCCACAATGCTGCCACTCAAAAACTCCTCATTGTATTTTAATTTGACCTTTTCAGTGATAATTTATGGGAAGATATTTTTTCCTCGGGTAACGTTTATGCTATTGTACGAAAGTTATTTTTTTTGCGACGGATTATGTATTAAGAAGTTTTTTTTATAGTAATGGACACAAAATGTTGTTTATGGCCGCTGTTGTATTTTTATATTTTGATAATAATATAAAGGTTATTGTTTGACTAGTTCAGAAACATTTTGTCTCCTGTGAGTGATAAAATGTCAGATGATTTTCGATGCAAAATATTAATATTCATATGATCATGTTTTCAAATTTAGATCGCAGCTACTTTAAAAAGTTTAATTACTTTACTTCAAAAGTGATTCTATAAATAAAGAAATTAAACACGAGGCCTTATTTTTTGGGCGATATGCAACTTGACAGCTCTTAGTTGGTGTTAAGTAGTCCTTTAAAGTAAAGAAGCCGTGTGCATACACTTGAGATTAAGCAAACATGTAATAAAGCAGGGCGCATCATGATGCAGATGTGATAACGTTTTTTCTTACTGTAAGCGTGCGTTCGCACGGGCAGACTTTGTACGCCGCGGTAAAGTTCAAGGTCAGCAGACTTTTTACGCCCACGAAATAGGTGTTCGTACGAGCGTAAAAAAATCACTTTTCAATCGTACCTCGTGTCAGTAGGACGTGTAAATGGTTTCTGTTAAATTTTTCTTTA